TAATTTTGAAATTTCTTCTAATAATTCTTCTTTGTCTTGTCTAGAAAGTTCGATAGTGTTATTTAACTCTTCTTCAAAAAACTGTATTCTTTTCTTTTATATGCCAATAATTCATTCTAAGGTATATAGACGTTGTTTGAAATTTCTATTTGATTCTGCTAATTGTAATACTATCTTATAGAGTTCTTAATTACTTTGTTGTAATTTCTTTATATTTTTTTACTATAATATAATAGAAAAACCTTTAATTTATATCGATTCATAAAAAGCTAAAGAAATCACTAAGAGTAAAAAAGTTAAAGATCGAAATTTGGCATTACAAAGGTTATATTATTGTCCTGAAGGTTACTATTAGACTGCTAAAAAAATGCAAGATGTTTGTAAGAATGCTGTGTATGATTTCCTCTTTACAAAGATTAAAAATTAGTTAAATAAGCAGGCATTGCATCAGATTCATAAGCCTCAGCCAAAATTTATTCAGTATACTTCTTTTAATGATATACTAGATTTAAATAATATGCATTAATCTAATACTACACTATTTTCTCATTATAAAATAGGCAATCAAATTTATAAGCATAGGCTTGTAATAAAAGATGTGGTTACTAGATTTCACTGTAGTTTTGCTTTAACTAATAAATCATCTGTACAAGTGACCAAAGCATTTTAAAAAATTTATAATGATCCCAGTTGCTCTCTTATTTAGCAAAATATTTTAATCATCGATAGAGATACTGAATTTTTGGGCAAATGTATGGATTTATTACTTAGTCATGATATAAAAATTCAGTATGCTTACTTCAAATATAGTGTTGCTATTGCTGAACGTGATTATCAAGAATTCGAAAAACATGCCTATATTCAGCAAGATGCAAAGGATTTTTTACTTTCCTTATCTGAAAAATCTAGAAAATGTGTTAAAAGTCTTCATATTAATGATGATATGTTTAATAATACTCCAATCTAATTAATAGAAATGTTTTCTAATGAAGCTGTAAAAAGAGCATTAAAAGGAAAAAAAATAATAGCTAAACTTTCAGTAAAGCATAGAAAACTAATTGGTTATAATGAACTGCTTTTATCTAGTTATACAAAAGTTTACCACCTTTTAGAACCTGGTGAATTAGAAGGTAGAAGAAGGAGGGCTATTAATTGCAATTGGTCTTCTGAAGTTTTTATAATTGATTCTTATTTAATAAAAAGAAATCAACCTATTCTCTATAAACTTTATAATGGTCCTAGATGCTCTTTTGTAAGAAAAGAACTACAAATCATTCCACCAGATACAGTAATACTACCCAAATATATTTTTAAGTATTAGACTTTTCTCCTTTTTTCTCTACTTGGTATAAGATTTGTTCAAAGGCATTTCTTAAATAATTATCTATTTCTACTTTATTGTAGATTATAATTTGTTTATTTCTAAGCCAATCAGTTTGTGAATTCTTTTTTTCTAATGCATTATTATTCCCAGGTTTATCATCTATAAGAAATTTGATAAGAGAATATAGAGAAAACTTAAATTGCTCATGCTTGTCAAATTCTTTTTCAAGTATTGCCCTAAACTATTTTCTTTGGCTTTCTAACATTTTTTGTATATCACTTCCATTATCTGGATAAGATTTGAGAACTTTTATACAATGTATAGCTATAGCTCTTCTTTTAATTGCTATACCTATTTCTTGCTCTTTAAATTCTAAATCCTTTTCCAGTTTTTCTTGTCTCTTCTTGATTTCTTCTAATCACTCAAATTCTTTATTAATCAAACTCTTAGATTTATTACTTTTTTTAATAGCTTGTATTCTAGATCCTGGACTATTTTTTAATTCATACTGCTCAAGATCATAGCAAAGAAGCATACATTGATTTAAGTCTTTTAGTTTGTCACAATCTCCTAGATTAAGTTTCTTTCATCTTCTTATAGTAGCAATCTTGCTTCTCATATCCTAAAATGCTCACCAGGCTTTTGAGCATTTAGATTAACCCATCTTCTTTGCTAATAATGTGAATATTCTTGTTATTCACACTAGAGGTTTCTATCTGTGATTCGAGATCAGAAGCTTGGATAGCCTTTTGAACAGACTGTTGATTAGCTTCTTGAATAGGTGCTTGAATAAAAGCTACTTTCTTCTACTTTTGTAATGATTTGCATAGATTTTTTTGTTTAATATGTTCACAAAGTTTTTGAGGTATTGAGCATTTATGACTGCAATGATTATAGATTGTAATTTTCTTATTACATCTTAATTTTCTAACTATAGTGTTTGCTCTAACCGTTACACTATTATTTGCTTATAAAATTTTTTTCTTTAATTAATTATTTCCTATTCTTTTCACTTTTCGATCCACCTTCTTAATCTTTGATCTGCAGAGCAATAAATTTAAAAAAATATATTAGTTTACTATATATCTTTTTTTAAGCTTGCGAAAAAGTAAATAGAGTTGCCAGACTCTTTCTAGACTATTATAGAACTGAAGTATTAACCAATTATTATTAATTTTTTTTTAATCTAGCGATTATAGGATGATCAGTAAATATTTTTGTCCATATTTTAGCAACTCTGGAAAGGCTTGTGGAAGAGCTTGTATTCATCCTGAAGGATGCCGGTTCTATTAGAAAGCTAAAATGCATGTATTATGCTCTGATTGTGAAAAATCTACAGCTTTTGCTTGTAGCCGATGTCTGTTACATATTAGAGGCTATTATGTTACTCAATATTATAATAAACTGTACAATACAGTTGCATGAAGGTAATAGAAAGATCATTTTGGCTAGCTTGCACAAAATCTATTCTCTAGACCAAAAGGTCTAGAGACAATTCTGCGAATTTTTTTAAATTTTTATAAGTATTAAAGTTATTTTTTGTTAGACTTATAAAATTTCTGGCAGGGTGGAATGATTAGATTTAAATAAATAATATATTAGTTGGAAGAGTTAGCCAATACGAAGCTAATTCTTGATATATTTTTATTAGACTCATTAAATTCTAAGCAAAGTGGAAGAAAAAGTTAGTACAAAATCCTTGTTAGACTTATTTAATAATTTATGCTATTTATTGCTCTAGCTTGTATAGAAGCTGTTCTTGTCTATAAAAAAGTTCATTAGATTTAAAAAGATCATGTAATACATGATATACTAATTAATGCATAGATCTTTTTAGAAGCAATTCTTGAATAGTTAGAGATATTTATAAATAAATCTAATGAATCTAAAATTGTTAATAAATATAACTAAAAAAATCAATATAATTTTAAGGCTTTTGAGAGTTTCTGAATATATTCCTAATATATTTATAAATTGTTAGCCTTATTTATAAGGTAATAAGAACCATTAGACTTATTTTTATTAAACTTATTAAAATAATACTTCTAAGCTCTTAGAAGCTCTTCTAGATATATATATAATAAGTTTGAGGTTTTGGGACAAAACTGTTAGACTTATTTTTCATTAGACTTATTTATAGAGCAATAAGAACCATTAGACTTATTTTTGTTAAACTTATTTCTAAATATTAAAATAAAGCTTCTAGAGCTAATAAAAACTCTTCTAGATATGCATACAATAAGTTTGGAGTTTTGGAACAAAACTATTAGACTTATTTTTCGTTAGACTTATTTATAGAGTAATAAGAACTATTAGACTTATTTTTGTTAGACTTATTTCTAAATATTAAAATAAAGCTTCTAGAGCTAATAGAAACCTTTCTAGTGATACAAAATAAATTTAACGGTTTGGAATAAACTGTTAGACTTATTTAAAAATAAACAAATTGGACTTCTAGAGGCTCTTAAAAGGCTTTCTAGAAATTGTTAAATCTATTCTGTCCCAAAAGCCTCAAACTAATATTGTGTAGAGTGATTATAGCTTTATGACTATATAGTAAACTAATACAACTTTATTATAACAATATAAAAGAAAAAACTAAGCAACAAGAGTATGACAACTTAGTGAAGTTGATAAGTTGTCACACCTTCAAGTGCCAAACCAAAAGTTTGAGTCTCACTAGTGATAAAATTTAAATTTATAGAATGTGTTATGACAAACTATATAACATATCGATCAGATTAGCATCTATAACTTTAGTCATATCAGCTTATATTAGAAGGTTATAGAACAGAATAGATAATCAACTCTTTTTATTAATTACTTACACCAAACTAAACCTAAAAACCAACAAGACAAAAATGATTACAACTTCTTAAATTATTAAGAGAATTTACTTTGATGCTCTAAGTAAACTTGTCTATCTACTCACTTTATATATACTACTAAAGTTTTATAACTTTAGCTTGTAAACTCGTCAAAAAACTTTCTAAAAAATAAAAAATTTACAAACTTAAAGTTTTCTTAAATTATACTAAAGAAACTATCTACACTCCTTAATACAAACTTACTCAGCTCCTTCATACAAACATTTTGATATATAATACACTACAAACAAACCAAAACTTACTCAACTACGACTAAAATTTCTTTAACTCTTCTCTTAAAACAAATTTGTTCTACTCATTAAGATAAACATTTTGATATATATTTTATCACAAATGGACAAAAATTAACAATTTTACATCAGAACAAACTTTAAACTCTCTTGTTAAAAAACATACTTTTGTTCTAAAAATTTACTGACAATTTTTCTGAAATTTTATTGGCTTGCCCTGGAAATTTCACTTTTTTCTACCCATTAAAATTTCCAAAGATCTGACAAATCCCAAAATTTCATTCACTAAATTTAGAAAACTTACTGGACATCTCTGGAAAACTTACTGGCTATTTGAAATTTTATTAGTTTATATTTTACTTAACAAAAATTAACTATATCTCAAAATCGTACTAAGTAAATCCTACTAGATCCTTAATTAAAATTTGTTCCTAAGACAAAATGCACATAATATTCAAATCTCAGATCTATATCTTTCAAACTTATTAAGAAAACAACAAAAAGCTACAAAATTTCTTCTTAATATCTATAAATTATTCAATGAAAATTGATAATATCTCAAAATTTTATTAAATAAATCTCATCAGATCTTCTAATTAAATTTGTTTCTAAGATTAAAATACATATTATTCTAAAACATTAGACCTCTATCTTTTAAACTCGCAGAGAAAATTAACAAAAACTCTTACATAACCTAAATTAACTTTCAAACTTATACAACATAAATTATACTATAACTCAAAAATTTATATAGAAAACCTTCTTTGGTGTCTTAAGCAAACTTATTCCTTAAATAAATTCACACATACTTCGAAATTTTCAATACTTACACCCTAATATTCACTGATTAAATCAACAAAACACCTAAAAACTCACTCATTAAATCCAACTAAAAACATGTCTTAATAAAGATTTTCTCACCACTAGCTTACTATTGACAATTCCTTGGACTGGTTTTAATCATTTCTTATTGACAAAGAAGCTGAAAGCCAAACTCAATTTTATATACCATTAGGTACACAGATACTTGACTTCATTAAACCATTCCTTCAAAACTTCTATCTTGGCAAAATTATTCAAACAGAAACAACCAACTAATACAACACTAAAAGCAATTTTAATGATCTTTTACAAAATATGATTTTTTAACAACCACAATTCATTATAAACTTTATTTATTAAAACAGACCAAATACACATCACACTAATATATTCTCCAACTATTTACTATTTACCCTCAAAGATATTTTATTTAACTTTACTACTACCCTCTTTACAAAATTGAATTATAAAAAAGTTTTTTATTCTCATTACTTTTCACCACCACATTTTATTTTTAAATGCTTTCAAATCGCTATCAACCTTGCTTATTTATACCTCTTTCTTCAAAATCAATATAAAACTATTAATTATATCAAATTCTTTAATGATCTAGATCTTAAACCTATTCGAATAACACTACACTTTAATACTATTTCAATAATAACAACCAACTATCTCTTAAAATTAAAAATGATTCCAAATACAATGTTTATATTACATTTGATATTTCTTCACAAAGTTTTTTACAAACTTTTTACATCCTCTCCTTTAAAACATACTGTATACTACTTGACAAATAGTTCCTAAAATTCTTTAACTCATATCAAAAACAATTTTCACATATTAATGAACAAAAAACTTATAATTTTCTCAAATTTTAAATATTTTCTTATCTTAATATTAAACTTAAAAAATTACTCTTAGAATCTTACTAATTTTCTACTGTTAACTCACTATATGAAAGATATCTGCATCTATTAAAGCATCACTTTACCATATTTATATATATACAAACAATATATGTAATATTCTCCCTAACAATATTCACACACTTTTCGCAACTTAACCTCTTTCTATTTCTATAACTCCTTTCCTAATCCTATCTACCCCTATTTAGATTTTTCTATTTTCAATCAAACCAACCACTAGCTACAACTTTTACAAAACCTTTTCCTTATAAATCTTTTAAAAAACTAGCCCAAATAGCTAAACAAAAATTTATACAACTTAACAATACTACTATGAATCCCAAACATCAATCCTTTTTCTATTATACTTACCTTAAACACTTTTTACTTACTGCCTTTAAAAATGATAATATTACTGATACTAATCTTAAAAACGCCCTTCAAAATACTTTCTTAAAAACAACAGACCCACATATTCTTGCTAAAATTATAGCATACTTTGATATTATATAATTCTCTAATACTCTATCTTTTAAATTAATCTAAATATGATTAATCCTATTTGCCACAAGCAGTACAATACATTACTAAAAAAACTTCAAATTCCAAAAATAACTACCAATCTTTTCTTCCTACAATTCAAAATACCAAACATATCTGAGTCTTTATTCTTTACTGAATAAATTATCTATCCTCTATCTAACTCAATATTTAACAAATATTATCTTATTTCTAACAACCAAACTTATACACTTTTATTTACTTAACAATAATTTGCTTAAACAATATTATTCTTATAACTTACCTTTAAAAACTTAACAAAATAACTTTATTATTTTTACTTATATTATATTATATAACTGATGTATTTTACTACTTCTTTATACTCTATTACTTATCAATAGCTACAAATACTTATACAAATAATTAATATACATTATTATACCCAAACAAATTACCTTTTATCTATACTTTATAGA